TCATAGTTTTACAGCCACGACGAGTCTATCACATCAACCAGCACACAGTGTTTTAGTGTAATAGCCTCAGGGGTATTGTGCTTATGTTGAACCAGTGAGATTTTAAAACAAGCGTTGTTTTTTCGTTCTTCAGGAGAAGGAGCGTTTCACAGCCTCCCAAAATCAACTATTTGATGTCCATAGTTTCCCAGGATCAGATTATTTGTCCTTGTGTCTTTCTAAAACTCCGCTTTCTCTGTGCAGTTATTCATGCTGTTCCCCTCCTGCCTTACCTCCCAGCCACTTAACGTGCAACATGTGTCCGTCTTATCTGCCGTATTATATCCCGCCTTGTTAAGCCAATTATTATTTGTGTTCTTCCTCGCTTTCCCGTACCACTTTGCCGGCTGTTTGCTGGAGGGTCACGCCTGACCTTGCTTAGCCTCGCTTTGTCTCGTCTCCGTCATCGTTAGCTAGCTTATCAGTGAAAGCAGCAGCGCTATTAGACCGGTCTGACAATGATACAGCTGTCCCACAGAGACTTCACACACACACACACACACACACACACACCGACACACACACACACACACACACACACACACACACACACACACACTCACACTCGTGTAAGGAAACCCTCGAGCCACTCTGGGGTTATTGTCCACAGATCACAGCGCTAGGTGAGTTGCTTCTTTTTTAATTAATCATAATTGTCCTTCAACGGGAAGTTTGTTCCTGCCGCTAGATAATGAGGTCCCAGAGTCTGCCACCTGCTGCCTTTGGTTTGCCCTAATCTCGTCGGTTGAAGGAGCCTCCGTCCAGAAGAGGGGAGGAACGAGGCAGAATGAGAAAACCACCCCGAATCCCACATGGTCGGGCTCTTCCTCCTCCTCGTATCCTCTCCTCCTCCGTCCTTCTTTCCACGTTCTTGTACATCATTAAAAACTTATTCAATGCAAAGCTTCCTAAACTCCCTTCTTTCTTTGGTTCCTCTTCCTCCTCTCCATCTTCTCGTTTATCCATTTACTCTCTTCTGCTTCTTCAGTTTTTTCTTATTCTTGCCTCTATCAACAAATGTTCCTCTCCTCCTCCTATTTGTATTCATGTTCTGGTTTATTTGGCAGGGGACAATGCTCAGCTGATGAACACTTTAAACACTCAAATGCTGTGAAGCGTAACGAGCTGCCCAAGACTTAGCCTTAGCTCATTTCCATCCGCATCCCTCACATAACACACTTTAAGAGAATTACATAGTTTACAAACTGCAAAAACAAAGAACAAAATACATTGATGGTGCAAAAAGTTCAAAAAGGGCAAGAGCCCCAGCATACACATAGTAATTTACCACATGGCAGCTGCACTGTAGCAGCTACGATGTAGTAGAAAGTGCAAACGAGATGCCCCCTGTGCTTAAGTGTGTTAGCGGTGCATTGCCACGTCTGTTTTTTCTCAACCATCTTTGAGTGTGACACTTTAAAAGCTTCGGGTCCCGCCAGGCAATAGACGGGGGTTAAACAACTGAACTGCCTGAAACAATTTCATAATATTCATCTGCTTTTAGTAATTATCTATTAATCTATATATCATTCCAATAACTCGGTATATAGACTCGTATTTGCACTTATTCCACTTTTTTCTTTTTTTTTAAACTATTTTCTTTTTGTATAACTTTTAATATAATATACTTTAATATTATTTTAATGCTTGTCTGCTTATCTGTATTATTGTGTTGCATTGTTTGGCGAGAAGCCATTACTCTGAGTAGCTATGTTTAGTTGACTAATACAAGAACCTGTTGAACCTTGAAACTATTGAGAGTGGGACAATCCCGATATCTCAGTTGGGCCTCAGACATTTTGTCCAAAAGTGGTCTGCTGCCGCGTGGACCTCACAGTCTCCTACTGGTTTACTGACCTAGTGCAGCCGGCCAGTGCCTGTTTTCTGTGGATGAATTCCCTTAAGGGGGGGGATTGGGGGGCGCAGTCCTGTACACACTTTAGGAACAAAACCACATACTTTTAAAAGACTTAAAAATGGTCAAAACTCAGAAAATGGTGTTTCTCAGGGATGGTGCAGTGGTGGTATGCATAAGGCTTTCTGTCAAACACCTGGATAGCTCTCTTGAACAGCTGTTCTCTGGGTTTCTGGTTTGTGGCTCAAGCAAACGACCAGTTTGTCAAACAGTATTCAATGTGGGATAGAGTCACACAGTGGAGGTGTGACTTTGCAGCATTGACAGTTAAGAAAGGTCTGATTTGTTTAACATGTTGCCAAGTTGAATTTAATGGTGTTGGATACTTTCTTAATATGTTTCTTAAAAGTCAAGTTTGACTCCAGTATGACTCCAAGATACTTGAAGTGGGAGACTAGTCTATTTCTGATCCATTAAAAACACACATTGAATCCTTCGATTTTGGACTGCGTCGTTTACTGAACATCAAGCTTACTGTTTTTTTTTACGTTTAACTGTAAGCAAATGTTGTTCAGCCAGTGGTGAACCTTGTCCAAAGCTTTTGAGAGACAGGATGAGATCATTTCTGTGTTCTTCCCGTGTACAAAGATGACCGCATCATCGGCATACATTTGCACATTCAACTCAGGACATACATTAGGCAAGTCATTAACGTACAGAGAAAACAGTAATGGTCCGAGAATGGAGCCTTGTGGAACCCCAACAGGGTTCACAAGGTACGGCGATTTGGCTCCGTTGACCAAAACACTGTTTTCTGTTCGATAAGTAAGACTTAAACAAATGTATCAAAACTGCCGGAGTACTCCTCTCCATGCTGGAGCACTTGGTGGTCAACGGTGTCAAAAGCCTTCCTGAGATCAAGGAAGACAGCACCTACACCTGGGCTCGTGTCCAACATACATTATCTTCTGTTCTTCCTATGTTTTCTCCCACTCATCCTCTTATTCTCCTTCTCATTTTATTCACTTTATTTGTCGCAGAACTTGTTCCCCCTCTTTTACATCTTCACCTTTTATTCAACTTATTTTCTTCCAATCTCTTACTCCTCCTCCATTGTTCATGATGTACCCAGTTTCTCTCTCCGCCTCATGACGTTTCTTTCACTTTCGATGTCCTCGACTTGTCTCACTTCTTTGCGTCTCCTCACTCTTATTCTTCTAGTCTGTCTTTTCTTTATCTCACTCTGTTCATCCCCCGTTTCTCTTTTCATCATGTTCTACACACACCCTCTGATACTCTTCCTCCTTCTCATCCTCCTCTTCCTCTTCCCTTCTTCATCTTTCTATCATGTTAACTTTCTCACTTCCAAAGCCATTCTTCTTCCTCTGTCTTACTCTCCTTCCCCTCTCCCCTGTGTCTGTCCTCCATCATTCACTTCATTCTTGCAGAAATGGTTTAATTGCACACACTCACACTCACACACACACACACACACACACACACACACACACACACACACACACACACACACACACACACGGGAGCATGTAGCCTTGGCGAGGAGGTGTTGATATAAAAGTGTGTGTGTTAAAAATGGAAAGAGGGAGACTGGTGGCTGTTTGACAATGAAAGTGATGTGTGGTGTGTGTGTGGTGTGTGTGTGTGTGTGTGTGTGTGTGTGTGTGTGTGTGTGTGTGTGTGTGTGTGTGTGTGTGTTGTTGTGTGTGTGTGTGTGTGTGTGTGTGTGGTGTGTGTGTGTGTGTGTGTGTTTTCTGTAGGGAAACTAATCCTATTAATTCAAGAGTGATAAACACAGAGAGAGAGAGAGAGAGAGAGAGACAGTCCCTCTCTCTCTCTCTCTCCCTCCATCATCATTATTCCTCCGTCAGATCCAGGCTGATTTCCTGGAGAACCGAGTGAGGAGGGATGGAGGGAGAAGTGAGAAAACAGAGAGAGAGAGCAGAAACAGAAAGGGAGAGAGAGCGAGAGAGTGTCCTTTCGTGAGAAGCCTCAATCCCTTTCCTGTCTTTTCTTTTCCCTCTTCTCCTCCCTCTTGTCCATCCTTCCTCTCATTTCCTCCTTCCTTTCTTTTGTCTTCATCTTTCCCCTCCATCTTTTTCTTCCCGCCTTCCATCGTTTTCCACCTCTCCTCCGTCACTTCTTCATTTCTTCCTTCTTGTCTTCCTCCCTCTTGTTCCACCTCCGCCCTTTCTTCTTCTGCTTCTTCATGTTTCTCTCCCTTCTCTCTCCTCTTAATTCCCACCTTATCTATCCTCCCTTTCTCTCTCTCTCTCTCTCTCTCTCTTCCCCCTCTGTATTCCTCCCCCGCCTCTTGTCTCACTCTCTTCACAGGACATTTATATCATAAAGGATGAATTTGCATATTAATTCATTTCTTGGCAATTTTTCTAGATTAGACGTTGGTCCAACATGTATCAGCGCTGATCAAACCGCGTGTGTCCACTAGAGACCTGGCCTGTGTGTGGTGTGTGTGTTGTGTGTGTGTGTGTGTGTGTGTGGTGTGTGTGTGTGTGTGTGTGTGTGTGTGTGTGGTGTGTGTGTGTGTGTGTGTGTGTGTGTGTGTGTGTGTGTGTGTGTGTGTGTGTGTGTGTGTGTGTGTGTGTGTTAGGGCGAGTTGTAGAAGAGGTAACCCAACCAGCCTAACAGTTGTTCCCCAACACGAGAGTACAGATGTATTATTACATAGTATTAAATTACAATACTAACACAAAAATACATATTATTAGATCAAACCATATGGATCGACACCACGTATGAGTCTCACTTACTAAAGACTAAAGGAAACTATTAGCTACATTAGTTAAGTAACCAGAGGAAGTACTCAGATCAATGTTAAGCTTAAATAAGCAGATACTAAAAAAAAGGTTATGTGTTAGTTTGTTATACATTTCCAATTTACGCTTAACGTTAAGTGTTGGTGAGAGTTTTCAATATGTGTGTGTGTGTGTGTGGTGTGTGTGTGTGTGTGTGTGTGTGTGTGTGTGTGTGTGTGTGTTGCTGTGTGTGTGTGTGTGTTAGTGTGTGATGTGCATGTGTGTGTGTGTGTGTGTGTGTGTGTGTGTTGTCTCCCCTCCCATCACTCTCTATGATGGATGGAGAGGTTAGCAATATGGCAGTTGTTCTCTGTCTTTTGACAAATGCGAGCCGGTCTCACCTTCAGGACGGAAAACCACTTCTTCTACTCCTGCCACTCGCTCCAGTGACGGAGTGGGGGGGGAGAAAAGTGTGGATTGAATGCATGAAAAGGCCACAGTTGGGGCTAAATCAATAATCTGAGAGGACGTCTGCATTACTTGCTGTAATAAGCTTTTAAGGACTTATTTAAATAACTTATTTGACCAGAAGATTGAAAACAGTTGAAGTTTCTCCTTGACAGGGGGAGTTTCTCTGCCTGCCATAGGACATCATTACGCCTAACACCTGCAATTCTATTGGCTAGCGTTCAAACACATTGTACGTGATAGGCTAAGGGGCGGGACATCTCTGAGGCACGCGGTTCAAAAAATGCTTATGTTTTTTCTCCAAATGTTTTCACCAAAAAAAATCCAGAATTGCTTATTTTTTCCAGAATTGGGACTTTTTGTACAATAACATAGATATAGCACCTGGAACAATCTAAGTTCAGGGTAACACGAGGAACTGCTTAAAAAAGGTTGAGAACTGACATACTGACTATACACCTGAACATCAGCAGGGAGGCACTCTTAAAGTAGAGACACATAGACATATCTTAAGAAATATCCGTGAAAAATAAACTGCTTACATTCCAGCGGCTGAAACTGATCTATGGCAGAGAGAGGACTCTTTGAAATAGAGACACAGATACATATCTAGTCCAGCCATCTCCTAGTTCTCTCTATACACCGAACATCAGCAGGGAGTAGGAACTCTCATGTAACATCTTTACTGTAGAGTTTACACAAAACAGTAATTCTTCTACCGGGGCATAAGAAACCTAGAGGAGGGTTATCCCCCCCACTTAAATCATGGTGACATGATAAAAACTAAATACATCAACATCTGCTATACAACCTGAACATTCAGCAGGAGAGGACTCTTTAGGAGCATAGAGACACCTACATACTGACTATACACCTGCTGACATTCAGCACTATCATCGGATGGAGACTCTTGTACA